CCCTGAAAAGTGGTTAACTAAAGGATAAACAAAATCTATTCGTAGCGCTATTCTATCTCATCTTGTGGATAGAGAACATAAGATTGATGTTAATCAGGCTTTCAGGGTCATTTGCCGCATGCCAACAAATCTTGTAGAACCAGACTGCACGCGTAACACATGCCCTAACCATCTCAATCGGCGTAACTTCACAACCTCGTCGATTGATTTCCCCTCACACCTAGCTAGCACTCGACCAACGCCTAAACCTCAATACTCCTCACCTTATTATACCACTTCACACGGGAGATAGGGCGCAGGCACCTATGAACAAAGACAGCTAATCTTTTCATGTCTTCCACTTTCAATAGCCAGGTCTAAAAGACCTGAAGGAGGACGGAGCGGACTGATGAGCAGTACAGCCGCCCTTTGGTCAATAGCCAGACGGATATCACATCTACGCCAGAGACAGCGTAAACTGGCATATGTGAAACTAGCCCTCTGTATTCGTGCTGAGATTTCGTCAGAGATCAACCCGTCGGAGTTGGCTGATGGTACTTCCCAAATAAGTGAAGCGGTCAACGTGCTCTACCACTTCACTTCCTATTTTTAAACTAGGCGTCGATGTAGTCCAGTCCTGTAACATCATCTTGCATTTGGCGGGAGCGAATCGCATGCCAAACATTCGTAGATTGCGGCTCAAGGTGTTTAGAAGGATCTGCATTTCGTCAGCGTCTTCGCCTAGAAGGACTATATCGTCTGCATATTCCGTAACTAGTTTCGCCTCTCCGCATAAAGCTTATAAACCAGGTCTCTATGTACAAAAGGAAATGATGGTCACTATGAATCCACCATAGTAGGTAATATGTTCTACTTATTAACTGTTATCAGTAATAATATTTTATTCTACCTCTTATTATTACTACTATTCCTGATTCATTTAAAACTACCTTCTATAAGTAGCGTTATCTTAACCCATTTCAACATTATTATTAATATTACTCGGTGCGTCGGCGGTTCACTGGTAGAACACTAGCCAATCACGCAAGTGGCCCACGGTCCGACCCTTAGCTGGCACACTCCTTTACCTCACTTTACCGGTAGTATTGTAACAACAGAAGACAAGGACCAGAGAAAACCAACACATATTTATAGATTTTTATGTACATTATTATTCTTTATTGTTAGCAGAGAGGCAACATCTTCTGATTGGTTGTTTTTCTGCTGAAAGTTATTCTGTCATCTCTTTGTTGCCGTTTCTTAGATAGCCTGTTGATATACATGCTAATCGTATCCGCCCACGCAAGGCCTACTGTGATTGGTTGTTGAGTAAACCTTTGTTCTTGTTTTTCTTTCGTGACCAAGATACGGGACGTAAAAAATGGTGCAAATTGATGTCTGGCAATTTTGACTAGCGCACAGCTCTCGCCACAGTATGGCAAGCAAAGAGGGGAGGTTGTGCGTAAGGCTAGCAACCTTACCCCGTAAAGAAACATAACTGGTACTGAAACTTCAAAGGCATAGCTTGAAGTCCTATCTTCTACTGGGAACCGCCAAAAGCGGTATCTTATCTTTAACGTTAGACTGGACACTAGGCATCTGAATCTGGACCTCTGCATTCAAAAGTACCAGAGTAACGTTCTTACTAGAATTTTGCTTCTTTTTGTTGTGTAAGTTTACTATTATCATTATTATTCCCATCGTTATCCGTATTTTATTGTCACTCTACTACTGTTTATTAATAACATTGCTTTTTCATACAGATTTTACAATTTTTTTAAAAACACTTTATCTTCTTTCCACTAATTCCTGTCCATTCTACACCATCTTGTTGATGAGTCATTATCTCACACTTATAACGTCATGTCAACTTCTCCCTCCACGAGTCTAATTTCCAATCAGACACCCCTTCGAGATTACAGCTTACGTCGCGTATTACGTTCTCAAGAACAAATTTTAGCAGTATCTGACTGGTCTTATGATTTCTTTGCTAAATTAATTAATAATTAAGATTGTACAGCTTGTGAAAATGAATCGTCGAATAGCAAATTTTTTTCTTCGCTGAATACGTCTTAGTCGTATAACTCCGAATGTATTTCTAATAGTATGTGTGGAGCATTCAGATGAAGAATTCTACCGAAATTTGATGAATTCACTAAATCCTGCTCTACTAACCTTTGCTGCTTGTTTAAAAAATCTCCTCACTCTCCGTCGGAGAGAGACCCATTGAAAACCAGCAGGAAATACTGGACAGCTGCCTATTCCTACTTCAGGCGACTGAGTCAGATTGTGGTGGCTGAGTGGTCTACGACATCTCCTTGTAACTGGAAGGTCCTGGTTTCAAAGCCTGGGGTGGCTGCGTTTACCTGGGTTCTAATTAGTTATCGTCACTGGTCCTACCACCAATATTTCGCAGTATCAGACTGCCTCTCGGTCAACAAAATCAAATGCTATCTTAGAGTTAAGGGATAAAACAGGTGTCCATAGGATGCATATTTACACTTTAGAAGCTGTCAAAAGGGTGCTTGGACTAGTCAACCACTCAGCTGGCAAGAAAGTTTTGCTCTACCCCAACTGTACACTGCCTTCTAATATACTCCAAAATCTTGAAAACTGATAACCAAAGTCCCCACAGGACTACTCAGTGAAAGAGAAACAATCGAGGATAGTAGTTTCATAAACCTACGCGTACTCGCAAATACTGAGTAGTTCGAGGCATGCTTCTTAGGCAGTTCCCAGCTTATTTAACACGAAATTCTATGAGAAGTCTCATTTGATTGACGATCCTTTTATAATTCTCGTAGAATATTACTATGATAAGACGGTAGTCCAGCGAAATGCCTCTTTCAATGAGTTTTACGCCCACACTTCAAACCCTATAACAATCTTTACCAATCCCTATTATATTAGTTGCATTAAATTTAACCGGTATCTTGACATGCAGACGTCGGAAGTATTAAACACTTTGCATCACACTGTCATTTCCCGCTACTAGTAGTATAGACATGCACTGAAGCCATGCTTTCTATGAACTATCTGACGAGGAACGAGAAAGGTTTCAGGATTATGTTCCCAATGCTATACAAAAACGTTGCGAAGATGCTATGCTAGTTCCTGAGTAACATAAAGCCTGAAGTGTCTCATCGTTTTCGCAGAAACCTGAAAAACACGTCTTCAACTGTTCAATTATTTCTCTCATGCCTTCCAACTCCAACTGCAATCACCCGGTCCACAATTTCGCGATGTACTGAGAAATATCAATGAATTACAGACCAAAGTTCAGTTCGAGAAACTAACTTTGCAGATATTTGATTTGTCACACCTAATTCTGAAAAACATTTCGAACAATTTAAAGCTGCAATTTTCGACAGCCGTTACAGGTACATGCCTGAACGACTGAGTCATTGTTATCTGATAACGAAGGGAGGCACAAAACAACTTCAGGAAAATAAAGACATAATCCTCACCCGTCCTGATTTAGCGGAATATGAAAAAAATCAGATAATGTCGAGAAACAAGCAAACGTACTATCAGACAAATACGGAATTCTTCAAATCACCCAACCGGAACGAACAGAAAACCTCCTTGCAAAATTACAGAAGAAAATGAAAGAAAATTCAATCATGACATAGATGTGTGAACAAACAAAACCATGCAGTTCAGTTTATCCCGAGACAATATGGATTGTCTGAGGTGCATAAGAAGGATGTCCCACTTCGACATGTTATAGACGCGGTGTCTGAACTCCGAATATCATCAGATTGCGAAGTGGTCAGCATATATTCTTGAATGGGCAAGGAGACATATGACAAGGTTATAGCCTTAATGATATATTTGACACTGCTCCTCCAATGAACAGAAATTTTGGTATTCTATCTAAAATTTCTGAAGTCTGACACAAAAATGACTACATAGTTCCACCCTCCATAGAGGTAAAGAGCCAACATAATGCTGAAACACTCCAAGATTCCTTCTTAAAACGCAGAACGGACATACTCAGAGATCGATAAATTCATGAATTCCATTCAGTTACACATGGTAGGACAAAAAACGATCGGAGTTCAAGCAGACCCAGCAAAACTCAAAGGAGTGACGTCCATAAAGCACGTCTAAACCACGGGAATCCTAAGATGTCGTCAGTTACTGAAAGACAATTGACAATCCTTCCAAACAGGCGCCATTCATTGGATGCAGGTAGCTCTATGCGACTATCGAAAACAGACTCATCGCACATCTGGAGCCAGAAGAGATCAGATTTCACATGTGTACCTAACCAAGCGTTGTAAACACGAATTTTGACGATCATACTAATTTAGTGACAGCATTATAAGATATTCACATTGGCCGACGTTCCCTTGGCTTCAGCTAAGCGGTTGGAAATGTCATGTGTTACTCACAGATAACAAAATTGACAACTGCTTCGGACAGTTCACCTGAGAAGATGAGTGCAGACACTATTGTTTCTTTAAATTTTACTCCTTTGCGTTCCCAATGGAACATAGGGCTTCAAGGTAGAGCTTTGAAGCTACGATAGTAGTTGTTGTATTTTTACGAAGTGAAATTGCTAGCCTCACGCCATATCTTTACCAGGCTTACTACCGGCTTAGTGAGGTTTAATAGTGCATCGGCCGGGAATCGAACCTAGGAGGCGCCGAGCGTGGCTGACGACCATTCTCCCACTGAACCACCGACTGTGGAAACACTAGTTTTTGTTAATATTGTGAGCAGTTTAAGAAGACATGCCGAACTCACAAATCTTGACCACCAACAAATGATTAACTACTCTATTTAGGTATCAAATATTTGGACGTTGAATTAAGGGGAAATTCTATGAGTACACCATATCTTAAATTGGCTTTACAAGTTTATCCACTGACTTAACCTCTAAATTTTAACACAACTTAAAATGTTCCCTGTTTACATATATATATATATATATATATATATATATATATATATATATATATATATATATATATATATATATATATATATATATATATATATATAAACACGTATATTTACAGCATGTGTGCACATTCAAAATGAAGGAGAAATTACCCATAGAGAAGAGTTTTATATTTTAAAATTTACACTCAATGAATGTTAAATGCACGAATCACAAATGCCATTTGAATTGCAAAATGCTTTGGATCACATTGATTTCATTTTCTACGGCGTCGTTTATTACCTGCACTGGTAGAAGTAGATTCAGAAGGTTGATCACTTTTTAGAAAGTTACATAACAGACTACGACTATTCTCATCAGAATTTTGATACAATCGAAACAACAGGCAAGGTGGTGGAGCAGGCAGAAGGTGATCTTCACCAACACTTTCATTATTTCCAGTGTCGTCATATAGACTGGGACCGACATTCTGTGACAGTAGACTATTCTCATGACTATTTGATGCATTACTTCCATTACTGTCATCACTTGTGACTGTAGGATGAGGTGGAGGAGGAGCAGGTTCCTGTCGAGCTTTCGATAGCTTTTCATTATACGAATAACAATTCAAGTCTGAAGATTGATTTTTGTTTGTTGTATTTTGTAAACCAACCATAACACGATTACGTAATTCTGCTGGGAGAACTTCAGGATTCATTGGACACGTTTTTTTATGACTGGGTAAAATGCACAAGCGACCGATAAAATCGCATCCTAGAGAACGCCAAGGACATGATACCTGAAAATAAAAATAAACTAAAGTAGATGAATAGAAAAAAATAAGAATACGACTACTGCAAAATTTTAAAACCTCAAGCTTACAACCCTCCGCCCCTGTTCACAAATCAGGACGCAAAGGAATTAATTCTCTAACAAACAATTGACGACACAGAATACAGTGTAGGTGTGGATGGGACCCAGTTGCAGCATAATGAACAGCGAGAAGAAACAATAAGTGACTGTATTCAACATAGAACTTGACACAGATGTATAGCGGTTCGAGTTGCCACAGTCCCTCCCTTGCATGCAGCACACGAAGCAAGATAAGAGAGACTCAAAAGAGAGGCCTGACGCGCGCGCGATGTCACCAACCGGCCTCCTCAGAGAGTGTCCAATCCACGATCTCCACCTTCTCCTGAATATTTGTTGGGCGATTGGTTCTTGTTTTGTTTCTTCCCATAGTTTCATGTTGATGATTCCTTCCGGCCCGGCCATCTGATCTTCGGTATAGATCCAGAGAAGACAGCTGTTGATAAAGGTCTGCAACAGGCTGTTGGAAATATTCTTTGTGACCCACCCGCCAAGTTTCTGATCCGTACAAGAGAACTGACTTGACGATTGTATTGAAAATTCGACCGAATTTTGTTGTTGATGCTGAGTGACGAAGATCTCCAGATTGGTTTCAGGTTGATGAATGTGTTTGTCGCCTTCCCGATTCTCGATTTGACATCGTCGTCCGTACCTCCTGTAGTTGAGACAGTGCTCCCTAGATAAGTGAATGAAGTAACCTCTCAAAAAATCCCTACCGTTTTTGGTGATTGGCGCTGGATGTTGCTGTTGTTGGTTGGTTATTTTCATAACCTCCGCCTCGTCTATGTTCACTTGGAGTCCTGTCTTTGCTGCTTCTTCGACCCAGTTACCTATGATCAAAGGTTAATCCCATCATACTCGGTCGACAAATGCTACCTTGGCCAATACGCGTTGAAGACATGAAAAGGTTGAGTGCTTTCGATCATAGATGTCTGCGATCTCTGTCTCACGTTAGGTGGTTTCACAAGGTAAGTAATGTTGACGTTAGGCGTAGAGTGTTGGGCAAAGAGGGAAAATCAATCGACGAGGTTATAAAGTTACATAGACTAAGATGGCTAGGTCACGTGCTGCGCATGCCTAACCACCGCCTCCCCCGACGGGCATTGTTAGCTGATATAGGTTCAGGTTGGAAAAGAGCCAGTGGTGGCCAAACAAAAACATGGCATCAATCCATGAAATCCTTGACAGTTAAACTGAGTCAGGTAGGGAGATGCAGACTCCCGGGTTGGGGCCCTCGGGACTCTAGGAATCAATGGCTGGAGACAATAGGTGACATGGCTCAAAATCGTTGTCAATGGCGCAGATGTATTCAATCTCTGTAATCTTTCATATTCCTTTCTTTTTTTACCCATTCTGTTTCACTCCTATATTTGTCAAACTCTATTAATTCTCTCCACTCATCTTCTTGTCTACCTCTGTGTGCTATTTGGAACGTGGCAACTCGAACTGCTGCACTTCGGTGCCAAGTTCTATGTTGAATCCAGACAGACAGACAGACCTTGTCGTGGTGGTCGGGCTTGAATACCACAGTAACCCAACAAGCTAAACTGGCTGGGACTCATGTACCTTAAGAAAACCACCTGCTTCGGTCTGGGTGTCTGGGTAGTATCTCAGCCCTCACACAACAAATGCAATTTAGTGTGGTGCATTTTTCTTGGTGCCATATTGTACCAAGTTTTTTCTGCGTTTAAATAAATAAATATAAAATAATTCCACCATATAATCGGTTTAGTCTGGATATAAAATCAAATTTAGCACATTCCCTAATGAAACGATGAAGTCACAATGTTGGTTGGCATCAGTGGCTATCTTTATCATCAGTAGGTAACGCAACTACAAACACTTGTGCACCTAGGTAGTGGATTTTCTTCCACTTTTTCCTCACATGAATTCCTTCAGTTGTACATTGTATTAGCAAATGATTACTTGAAAAAGAGAGTATAAACCAATGCCAACGATACTCGCATTGTCTGTACTCACTATACGTACAATGACTTACCATATATTCGCCTATTATATTTTCAACTATGAAATCATGGTGCATGGATCCTTTTGGGATAGGCAAACGATCAACCGGACAAGTAGGCGAATCACGAATCCACGGGTCGATACACTAAAAATAAGAACGGTTAAAAGTAATTCACTACAAAATAGAATCTATATATTAGGAAATTGACTACATTCCTCTGTGTTTAATGAACATTTCCATTTTATGGATTGAAAATCATTATGAAGAATTACTTTTTTGTTTTCATCCATGTACTGGCATTTATTATTTTTTATTATTATTACGGTGTGAGGTCAAGTGAATATGCCTCCCATGAGTAATGATTAGCCCAATTCTCTTTGATTTCACTTGAATTTTTCGATTCCACTGAATTACAGATAAATAGAACAAATAAAACTCACCGACTAGTTTCAACAGAGAACTTGGCACAAATGTACAGCAGTTCGATTGAGTTGCCACACTCCCTTCATTTAGTACACAAAGCAAAGGAGAAGACAGTTAAGAGAGACTCAAACGAGAGATGCCAAACAGATGTGTGAATGAGGGAAAAAAATAATCAGCACACAAAGCCCTACTGATCATCATTCTCTTGTATACCTGTCAACCCCCTCTCCATGCTTTTGCTTCCCTACTACTGTCAGTACTATTCTGCAGATAGGTATGTACAATGTATCTAGTTATCCTAGTCACCCTGCAATACTATCCGCCTATATCTATTGATACTATCTATCCCCTCGAAACGCACTACATCTCAAGGCTCTAAAAAGTGCAGTCTCTGTAAGCCCATTGTTTGCTTTCTACTACGAGCACTCTTAGTTGATGAGTCCCATATAGGACAAAATGTGCATCCTGGATTATACTGCTAGTCACCACCAGCCAAATACAGCCGTTAGTTTCTTTATTCATGTATAAACGAATATACATTATTAGTTAAAGTGATATTTAGATAATTAATTAACACTTACACTTTTGCAAAATGAATGACCGCATGGTGCACGCTGAGGATTAGAAAATGCCTCCTGGCATATAGGACAGAAGAGATGCAGACTGACAGCTGATGGGTTAACGAAAAACCTACAGGTATTTATTTTATTTCATTGAAAGTGGCTACCTTTCTTCGGGAGCTGGCTCAGATTTCCTTGGAACAGCTCTTTTAGTCGAGCGTCTACGTACCATTGGTTTAGATTCCAATATGTGTTTGTAGACTTTTCGTGCTAAAATAAAAAACGGAAGAGAAATCGTAATTATTTTAAAATCATAGACTGTCTATACTTGATTCATAGATGCTTTAAAACACGCTATTTAGCATATGTGTAAAACTTGGGCACCGTGGTAGCAAGTAATTCCATATTCTGTCTGTCTGGATTCAACATAGAACTTGGCACCGAAGTGCAGCAGTTCGAGTTGCCATGTTCCAAATAGCACACAAAGGTAGACAAGAAGATGAGTGAAGAGAATCAATACAGTCTGACAAGTATAAGAGTGAAACAGAATGGGTAATGGTAGAAAGGAATATGAAAGATCACAGAGACTGAATACATCTGCGCCATTGACAACGATCACTTTGAGCCATTTCACCTATTGTCTCCAGCCATTGAGTCCTAGAGTTTCGAGGAATTCCATATTAGTTTGTTTATTAGATGGATCACACAGTGAAACATTATTGTTTACTGGATGACGTTTCGAACACAAATTATTGTTCATAATCATATAAATTATAATCACACAACTTCGAAACTTGAGTTTTATAGTTTTCTTTGTCTTCTCCTATTTGTCGTAGGGGTAGTAGAATTTTCCAGATGTCTAGGACAGGTGTTGAATCATTCCTATTACACGTATTTGCAGTTGATTCGATTAACAAAGCTTCTGTTAAGTTATACGGAAGAAACTCCATGACATATGTTCTTACAACAAGAAGTGTCGACAGGTTAAAATGTGTACACGAGCAGCAACAGATATTAAAGATGGACAAAGACATTATCGCATAAAACATATTTTAAAATAACTGATAAGTACAAATAACCTTCAATTTACACACACCAAGCAGTATATCGAATTCAGTCTAAAATTTAGTTCCCTATATATATATATATATATATATATATATATATATATATATATATATAAAGTTGAGTCTACATGGCGTAGACGTGATATCCGGTCTGCTATCTTTCAAAGGACGCTTAGCGATTCGTTCCGTCCTCCTTTATGGCCAAGACAGATACATGGCCATTGAAAGTGGAAGATATATAAACATATAATAAACAGCATACTAGGAGACATCGAGTTCACAAGAGAAGAAACGAAATCCCCTTCTCAGATGCTTAATCAAGGGAACAACCACAGGAAGTCTAGAAACCAGCCTACACAGAATTGACACACACACATACAGAGATCAAACACTCAAATATAACGGCAATGCTCCAATGACTCACATAAGAAACTGAGTACCAACGCTGTCTAAGAGTTACAACACAATGTAGCACTCTCTTGCTTCGCGTGCTACACGGAATGTGGCGACTTGAACTTCCGCACATTTGTGCAAAGTTCTATGTCGAAAACAGACAGACAGCACTCCAGTATTGAAAATAGAAGGCAAATACTAACTGGCCTTACTCAAGAAAAATGGAATACCCATACACTACTACTAAAAAATGTTGGGACAAGTCGAAATACCAACAAGAAACCATCCTCAGTAACAACAAGAAAACTTATCTTACTGCATATATTAATAATATCTCTGGAATAACAGCTAAAATACTGAAACCATTAGAAATAGACAGCGCACAAACCAACACAGTCACGTCATTCAATAGTGTGTACACCAAGATCCAACAACAAAAGGTGACAATACCAACACCACTTAAAAAAATAAATCGCTTGAACTGTGATAAAAAACCACAGTGGCCAGAGTCGGTGTCTCCTCCAACTCAGAACCCACGAACTAGCTGTGAAAAGGACGTTTCCCATCATACTGATTCAGGTATACAATTATGGATACAAATAATGCTAGAACGAGACATATAAGCGAACAATATTGTTTTCAATTAGATCTTCAGGCTTTACTCCAATTTACAGATTTATACATAAAAAATTTTAACCAATGACGGTGATTTTGTGGATCAAATAGTAATAATAATAATTTGGTAAATGTTTTGAACGAAATTAATAACGATGATTATAATGATAACAAAATACTGATAATAAGGTTTATGAAGGTAAGGATAAGAATAACAAAGGTAGTAATATGTGTATATCTAGACAATTCAATAAATAAATTAGGTCAAATCTTAAAAGTGGCGTAATACTAAAGGTAGGTGAAGTGGACAGATAATCGAACTTTAAATAAATATCATAAAAGTACGAAGGAGATGGAAAATAAGAAAAGGTGGGAGGGTTCTGAATAGAATTCACCTAGGCCAAGGGAGAAACAAAGGTGGAACAAACTTCTTTTGTATTCAAAGACTAGGATTGCCCTCTCGAATTCCCATAGCTTCAGCTAAGTGTAAAAGACGGGTTCTAATTCCGTTCAAAAGACTCGATGGAATGCGATGGATAACTTTGAAGGCACTATTTTTGTCCACTTGGTGACCCCTATCAATCAAGTGAGCCAAAATAGAATAGATTTTATTTGACCTCCGAACCATGAAGGAAGATGCTCATTAATCCATATAGGAATTGTTCCATTCGCAATAGATCTATTTATCCGGACAACTATTGATCATGGCACTTGTTATAACTGTGGGGAATTAAATGAAGACGTTTTCACCTTGCTCTGTCTGCGCCTGAACTAATCTGCCTATCTGCTTGTCGTACCTTCCGACTTAGTAAAGCACGCAAATATCAAAAGACAAAGGCTGGACTGTGACTGTGTATTGAAGTGCAACAACAACAAAGAAAGCCATGGTATTTATACATTTTACAACAATATGGACAGCTAACAGCATTTGAAATAATTGATCTTAATAGCCAATAACAAAGTGCGTGAGAGATGATAATATACCATATGTGCGAGATTGACAGTCAGTAACAAAATGTGTGGGAATGATAATATACCATATATGCAAGATTAACAGTCACTACCAAAATGTGTGAGAATGATAATATACCATATATACAAGATTAACAGTCACTACCAAAATGTATGAGAATGATAATATACCATATATACAAGATTAACGGTAAATACCAAAATGTGTGAGAATGATAACATACCATATATGCAAGATTAAACAGTCAATACCAAAATATGTGGGATCCTATCAGCACTTTGAGATTCATGGATATTCCTGTCTGTTCTTTAACCTTCTGCTAACTTTAACCTTTATCTGCGAAGTCAGTTGGTTGATACTAACTAACAGTGGAATTCAGGATTCACACTTCGTCCCACTTGGGACTCGCCAACTGCATGTGCCTGCGTTCCTCAGTGAGTAGTGATGGTGTTCCCACCGAGGCTCAAACCCAGTGACCATAGTTTCGTACGCCAAAGCGTTTTCCACTAGACCACTTGGTCCACGAGAGCCACCTCGCGCGCGCAACGTGTCTTATTAATTATTTAATTCAATCAAGATTTTCCCATCGATTGATTGGACCGAAGTGCTCGGTCTCAGGTTGACATGTCGGCTCCTCGTGCAGATGCTTCGACGACGTCTGGTCATGTAACTTGAAGTCAATTGGCTGATGGTGAGACCGAGCACTTCGGTCCAATCAATCGATGGGAAAATCTTAATTGAATTAAATAATTAATAAGACTCGTTACACACGAGGTGACTCCCGTGGTTCAAGTGGTCTAGTGGATAACGCTTAGGCGTTTGAAACTACGGCCACTGGGTTTGAGCCTCGGTGGGAACACCATCACTAATCACTGGGGAGCACAGGCAGATCCAGTGACCAGTCCCAAGTAGGACGAAATGTGCATCTTGGACTCCTCTGCTAATCACTGTCAACCAACTGACTCAATCGGAGAAATTAAACTTTAAGCACCAAAGGAGTATGACCTCAACAATCACCCGGGAACGCTCAGTCAACTGTTTAGTGAAACACGATAATAATGAATAAAATCTGCTTAGTGAAGCGTTGTCATATTAAACGGGATATCTGGTAAGTTTTAGGTTAGCTTTGGGAAAGATTAAGGTAAGGCGTAGGCTAGAGACAGGTTAAAGTTAGGTTGACATTATAAGGGATAGTGGGGTTGGTTCCAGTTAGATTAGGGAGCGACTGCGGTTAGGTTTACGAGAATCTAGATGAATACATGTGTCGAATAAGGTTGAATTTCTCTGTTGACACACCAATGCAAAACTGGAAGGTATTTTATTGCCACCAAAAGAAAGCACCACTATGTTACCTACAGAATGGCTTAAGCGATAAAAAGATGTCGCGACATGGAAGACGAACCACATTAGCTATTCTTTGTGACCCAGTCAAGTATATTTACCCACACATCACAGTCAATGGGTGAAATCTCGGTTATCACAGTTTATCATACCAGTCTAAATAAAACCTCGCAAGAAATGGCTTCAGCAGAGGGATGTCTAATAAGACCGCCATGGCAATGCAACCAGTAAGAAAACGCCAGCTGTATTGAAAACACTGTCACAAATAAGTCTGTAAACATACAGACTTATTTGAGTATACACCTGAAAACCTTCTTAAACACTTGAATGTTTGCGTTCATGCCTATAGATTCTGTGCGCAGTACACCAGCGAAGGTTTTTCCGCCAGTCGGCAAAGTTATATGTAGTCACACGTCAGAATTTGGCTCTACATTAGTAAGATTACCGATGTGAGGCTGACCAACAAGCCGTCATCCGAAAAACAGATAGCAAAGTATCAGCTGATCATACAAGCGCAGCTAATGGTCCTTAAAATATTAAAGCACGCCGGGTCAGCGATTGTGATTACAATCATTTTAAGGGTTGACTTTGTCTATCATACTTTAACT